TCCTGCTGCTGCTGCTCTTGTGTATCACTGTCTGCCGCCCTCGTCGACCTCCCACGCTACGCTCGTGCTGTCTGCCCGTCAGATTGTCCTTTTGTGGCTCCCGACTACGCGCGCCCACCCCCTAATGCCAGCCCATTGCCCATCGTCCTCCGGCGTCGTGCTGCCGTCCACGTGGCCGTGTCTGGTCGTGTTGTACGTGCGTGGCGTGCGTTCTGCTGCAAATTGCCAGTTAAAATTTCTGACATGTCAGCAAACGGTGACTGCAGCGCCAACTCACTATGGGAGCGACGGACTAGCTGCAAGGATGCACAGCATCAATACTGTAGCAGACAAAGCGGCAAGGCGCTGTCGAGCCATGCTCAATCTTTGGCGAATAATCTATAAGTTATCGTTTTCCTCTTTGTCTTCTTGTTCTTGCTTCATCTTCTCCTCCCGCGATGCATGTGTCTATCAAAGTGTCAGTGTTATTGGTTGCTATTCTTATGGCTGGCAGCGCACAATACAGTAATCGACTGGACCAAAAAATGGCGAATTGTCATGTCCGGTTCAATCTTTGCTAGCTGCTCAGCTAGCTTTGTGAATTGCAGCTGTAAGCTGTCATGTTATCGATCAGCGATATTGTTTGTCATGTTTTGGTCAATTTATGAGGTTATCGATAAGTTCGTTGAGAAACTCTTTACTGCCTGGTAAGCTATATTAATTTCAAATGTAAGCTTTGCATATATTGAAAAATTATGAATATACCTGACATACATATTGTCATTGTTTACAATCAGTATTAGATGTTATCGATAGGAAGGAATCTTGCTACCAAGCTGTAGTAATGGTGTTTGTCAGAATCGCTGTTATCGATATACGATTAGTCTACTAACTGTCACTATGCATCATAATAAAACAGTCAATGTCAGTTGTTATCGCAATAAAAGTATCGATTTTGACAAATACTCAATCTTAGCTGTTATCGATAAGTTCGATAAGAAATCTCTTACAGCTTAGCATTATTTTAAGGCTGCAATGCTATTGATAGGCTATTAAAGTGTCTTCAAGCTCTTACTATCATTATCGATATATCTATCGACATCGAACAATCTTAATTTATTCAAAGATGTAAAATCTTAAATTATTGTTATGTCTATATACAAACATTCATGTAAGCCCCAGTCATATATCGATTATTTCAATTTATTATATCGATAGGCAGCCCTTTAAACACTTTCTTCAACACGCACTAAGCACAGGTGCCATATGGCTTTCTATTGAGTGTCAAACGCTCGCCCATTGTGCCTACATGGCGATTTAGTCTATATATATAGAGAAATTTGTGTGCGTGCGTGTGTGTGTGTGTGTATGGATGAATGCTTGGCTGGTTAAGTGGTGGCTGGTGCTGGGCTGCTGCTGTTACATAGGCGACGGTGCGGTGCCTAGGCAGAAGATCAACAATGGCACGCTTTGTCATACGAAAAATGGGCGACATGCAGCTGAGAGAGCAGAGGAGAAGAAGGAGCGAGAAAGTGTGTGCGTGAGTGTGAGTGAGAGGGCAACAGCATATTCAATAGATGTCCTGAGCCTGGCTGGTTGCCTGCTTGTCTGCCTGGCTGCCTGGCTGCCTGACTGGTTGGCTGCCCTAGCCTAGTCCTGGTTGGTTGTGTGTTAACAGCTGCGGTGCAGGGCATTGACAAGAGTCGTAATTGAAAGGCAGCTGCTGGCTGGCGAGAGACTGAGGCAGCAGCATTTTGTATAATATGCACATGGAAACATAGTCGGATAAAGGTGTCGTCGTCGCCTGCACGACGTCATCTACCATGATGTGCCCTCGCCCGTTATCTTTGGGACAATGTTGGCTCAATATAACGTATAATTTGAGCAACTTCCTCGCCCCCGGCCGGGCCGCACGGCTGCAGCTCCAGCTCGAATTCAATTGTAATTTATACAGCTGTAATTTATGCATAACAATAAAGTATTTAGTTATGATAAATATGATTTATGAGCCGTAGGTGCTAAGCTGCAGCTCATTAACTGTTATGCTGTCGATAGACTGAATGTTTACAAATGCCAAGTGCGGGCCAGTTAATTGTCAACGCCTGCGCACGACCTTCTGGCTATAAATATATAAACAAATATACCTATATACATTTATATACATATATATATTTGAAATTGAAAACTAAACGTTCGCCAGCTTACCATAAATATCTATAAAGAAACAGAAAGAAAAAATCAAAAACAAAAACGAAAACGAAAACGAAACTGAAATAAAATAAAAGCGAGTATTAAATGCGCAATGTGCGGCGCGCATTTCAAGGGCGTTCGATATAATTTTGAACGCGTGCCGCGGCATACAAAACTTGGCAATTGGTAAGACAAACATGAAAAGCCCAAGACTGCATTCCAATGCTGGCCATAATTATATGGCGGGGGTGAGGGTTAAATGCAAGGATGGCCAATGCTTTGACCCAGCCACGTTCACAGCCAGCTGCTGCTCAAGTATGCAAAGCACAAGCACAAGCGCAAGCTCACAAAAAATACAAATAAAAAATCAAATAAATTGGAAATAATAATAATTGAAGAAAAAATTGACTGAAAAATTAAGGCGAAAAGCCGAAAAACCAAAACTGACGAGATCTAAATGCCATTGAAGTGTCAGTTTGGCCACGTTCGGGCCGAGGCTCGAGTTCGGCCTGAAGTATGTTGGCCATAACGCATTCGAGTATCAATCTGTATGCGGTTCAAGTTGGGTCACTTGTGGCATGGCCGGGTCTGGTCTGCTGGGCCAGCCAATTGGTATTTTGCTGTAAAATTGCCATTCAAATGGCAGTTAAAACTCAGCACTCGACTCGGGCCGTGCGACAACTGACAAGCAAACGCAACACAATCCAATCGGCCATCGAGTGTTGTCCATTGAAAGCAGCTGCCAAAAATAAGTTGAGATTGCGCGCAACATGTGACACTTGGCTTTTGGTCGTCAGGCTGTTGTGTCCGCATTAACTCGAGTGCCAGTCGAAGTGGCAACATTTAAGGGTCTCTTATATATTTGGCTGGCATTCGCTGTTTGTGTGCTTATGTGCCATTTGCCTATTAGTTTGCTGTCAGAGCTCATGTCAATTGAGTTCACATCCGAGCAGCTCAGTTGACAGCAAAAATCAAGGAGTTTGCTTAGCCAACAAGGCTCCTCGCTTGGCCGCTACTGTGACCGCACGCCTGCTAAGCCCGCCCATTTAATTTGGAACAGTTTCAACAATTCGAGCGAATTAAGTATTGAATTTCAAACCAGTTTAACAATATGTTAAAACAAGTCCGTTAGCTCGTAGAGTTTTGTGACCCGACGAGCTCTGGTTGTTATAGCCGGAACCCATTGTAAGTGAAAAGTCGGCGTGGAAATGTCTATAGCAGGCAGCAGGAGGCGTGGCAGCAGCCATAAAGTAAAGATATTTTTGTGAACCGAACGATGAGCAGAGTTAATTAGTTAGTCTGTGAGTTGGGCTGAGATTTGAAATTAATATTAGATCTCCATATAGTTGTTGCCTTAGTTAATCGATAAATATTCACGTATTTTTGATATCGAATTTAGTTATTCAGTTATCATATCATATATCATATCATATACCCATATAGCTGTGCTAGTTAATCGATATGTATCAACGTCTCTTGTTATCGATATTTGTTTATTAAGCTATTATATCATGTAACTCTTTGTTGCTAGAATCTTGAATTTTCTCTATATCTGATAAAATTTATCATTTTATTTTTGTTTTTCCTGTTACTAATACCATGGAATTCTTAAGTTCTTCTTCTTTCATATGGAAATGAATTTGTGTTTTAGTAAATCTCTAAATATTCGACAGAATATGTAGATCATATGCTAAGAATTTCATTGAGAACTGTTAGCTAACAGAATTTCTTAAATAAAACATTTCGTAAATTTAAATTTGCATTTTTCCTATACATGTGCACACATACATTCAAACGCATGCATTTTTGTCTCTTCAAAGGGATCGCAAATGCTATGGAATTTTATATTACTTTAGCTGAGATTCGGCAGTCAAAGATCGAGATGTGAAGGGACGGTGTTGGTAGAGTCGATAAGCGCTGTCGAGGAGTTGTGGGTTTGCTTCTCCAATGTTAACCTATTTAGTATGATAGCTGCGGAATTTAATTTGATCTGGTTTTAGGGTATATAACAGTCGTATACCGCCAACTAGAGACTCTTGAATCCGCTTTGGACGCTCATCTTTCACCCGATATGCATATGAATCGCTAGCTGACATGCCCTATGCTAATTAGGCCGAAGAAATCACCATCAGCTCAGCTCATGGCGTATAAATCTTGGCAAACGCTGCGCCGTATCAGGGGCAGCGTTATCAATAAACATCAGCCAGCCGCTGTCAGTCGGCCAACCCTCCAGAGTTGCCGCTTGAGCCCTATCTATAGCAATTTTCCCATTTGCTGTTGTTTGTATTGTTGGCTGTCAGTCGGCGATTTGGCGCACATTGATAAATGATGCATTGAGTAAACGCCGCTCGATTCGACGCTAATTTTCTGTGACAAATTTCAACAGCTACATGTCAATTCTTATAGTTGAGCTGAGTTGAGTTGAGTTGACTTGAACTGAGCTGGGTTGAGTGGCGTCCTGTGCTGTGCTGTTACTCTGTTACTTCAAGTGTCGCCTGTCTATTCAATTTGCCCGCTGGAGGGAAGTTTGCCTTGATTGAAGCACTTACGGGACGCACTTAATGCCAGCTTGACATGCAACTAAGGTATTTAGCCGACTTGTATATATTTAGACTCTGTTATATACATATATTGGTATATGAGTGTGTATTCAGTTCCTTCCTTGATTGCTCACTTATATTTGCTATCGGCTCATCGAGCAAATCTCAATGCCCATAAATCTATATAGCACTTGTATATTCATATACATACATACATATTTATTTCTATATATACATATATTTATGTATGCATGTATTGCCTCGGCTAATGCTAATCTATTTTGTTTTCAGCTTCTGTTTCCGTTTCGCCATTGGCAGGGCCCAAAATTAATGGTAATTTCATGCTGTCATTGCGCAAAAATCAACACGGCCCCCGAAGCGCCAGCAGAACAAAACACAAAGGTACGTAACTGGGGTAATTAAAAGTCTATTAGGGGTAGCTCCAAACTTACAGCTATAGAATACATCCCATTACCAACAAACAAACAAACAGAAAAAAACACAGCAAACAGAAAACACCTCAGAGTCTCACATTAAATGGCCTATCGAAGGGGGTTTGTGAACGGGAGCTCTTCTTCTTACACTTCTTCATTTTTTGTTGGCTTTTGTGTACTTGGCGAAATGTTTGCCAATGAAAATAAATTGGCAAGACGAGCGGCCAGCAACCGGGCTCGCCAAGGAGTCTCGGCCAGTTCTCATTTCTCCTTGACAATGGAAAATTGAAAAGTTCTCGGCATTCTGTTTTTTTTTTTTCTTGTCGCGACAAACTCAATCAGGAATTTAAGCTAAACTTGTGTCGTCCGACGTCGACAAAGCTTTAATTAATATCGCAATTTGGCCAGCATTTGCATGCCAGCGGAATAACTAAATAGCAACATTTAAATGAGTTTCAAGACTGCTAATGCTTAATCCCATAAAGAATTTCAGGTGAACATAAATTACCGAGCAGCTGTGTAGCCCTATCAATATGTGATTACTATAATAACCCGTTGGCCTTGACAATGGTTCATCTTCCGTTGTGGCCATCAAAATTCATTAAGGTTTTTTTTACCATATCTTTCAATGTTTATTATTAACTTTGATTAGATCATCGCTCAATTCACATAAGACGCAGCTAATAAACCGCTTCAATGAATCTCATATTACACTACACAGACATACATAGCTTTCCCCACAGCTCTAGTCACAGCAACTAGGCATGCCTATGCTTACTAGTTAGTATAGTCTATTATCGCAGCTCATAACTCATATGCATTGGCTCGGTGGCAAAGTTTAATTGAAATGCAGTTTAGCTTTTAGCTGAATCATGACTCTACGAGCTTATGGAACTATGTTTAGCTGGCTCGTGCTACTGCACACACACACACACCTGTTTCTTATCTGATTTGTCATGGACTGGCGCTAATTAATTAGCTTTATGCGCATAATTAAATGGTGTATACACAGATTCTTGTAGCTTTTTCTTTTTAGATATTTTATTTATTTTCGTCATGTTTGCACTCGCAACGACTCGACTCAGCTAGCCACGTCTCGAGCTGTTGGGCCAAAAAGTTTTGCCAGCCAATTTTTCATACATCTCGGCCATAATGGCCAGCAATTACGTCGACCATCCGGCTGTGGGCTGAGCTGGACGAGGAGCAGGTCCACTTTGCTGCTGCTGATGATCATAATCGTTAATACGTAGTCATAATCATAGTTTTGTTGGCTCTAGTCGTCGCTCATCTGCCGGAAGTTGGGCATACGAAAAATGTTGGCTGGTAATTAATGCCGTGGCCAGAGGTCCGGTCGGGCACTGTTCAGCTAGCGGGCTTTTGATTATTTGATTTTCACGCTTAGTTGAGCCGACTGAAATTATTTTATAGTAAAATGATTTATATAATACATGGCTATAACTCTGTGCAGGCAATTCTGATGTGAATATGAAAACGTGCTGAGAAGGATTAGCGAGAGTTTCCCAGCGAATTCTCAATAGAATTTTGCTGCTGCTGTAATTGGATGATATCATCAATAAATATATTAAACATTATCAAACAGCACGCATCATTATCTCTATTATCGCTCAGATTGTCGTCAGGCGATAAACCTTTTATGCAATTCAAATTGAAGGCGGAGGCACATCAATTATGCTGCCCCGCTGCCAGCAACAGTTTGCAAATGATTATTAACTTATTAATGTGTGTATATTGTTTAATTTATTTGTATATTTTTTTCTCCATTGATTTTTATATATATTTTTTTTTTAATATGCCAGTGTTTAAATGACAACTGAATGTGGGCACGTGTGTGGCCGTGCGGTTATCTGTAGAATGCATAAAATTAATATCCATGCTGTTGCTGTTTGTTTGTATTATTATTAAAATTTATATATTAACATTATGTCGTGGCTGGAGTTAACATTTTTTCAATCGTACGCTTTGTTAATTGCGTTAAGCCCAAGTCAATTATCAAATATACAAACCGCAATGTTTATAGCGATGATAAAGCCGGCGATCATCATGCTGCTGGACGAAGGCGAGAAGGGGTCGTTGCCAGCGCCAGCGGCTCGTTCAGATTTTTAATTATAATTCCATGACGTTAACGACATGTTTGTCTATCCCTCCGTCCGTCTCTCTCTCTCACTCTCTCGCTGTCTGTATCTATGTATCTATCTCTCTGTATGCCTGTTGTTATTTTAAATAGTTTTTGCCATTGCTATAGCCATTGTCAGTTGTTGTTGTTGTTGTTGTTGTTGTTGTTGTCGTTGCCGACAGTTGACATGGCATGGCGGGCTTTACAGTAGCTGACATCATAAATTGGCCAAAGCAACAGATGCCCACATATGGACAGTTGCCAAGCTCGCCTAGGCGACTGCGAACTGAGTTGACCATGACTGAAAAATGCGTCAAGAGCGAACTGAAGAAAATGGTGAAAAACTTCAGGTACTTTCAGCCGGCTAGCAAAAGTAAAGCAAAAAAAACTAAATGAAAACTGAAAACATAATGTAATAATGGAGATTAAATCGTATACTTGGCATTAGCGAAAGTTAAAAGCTTTTAGAATTGACTTGAAATTAACGCAAGAGCTTTAAGTGAAACTGATTTTAGTTTCGCAGAAATTTATGTAAAAGTTTGAAGAGTTCATAATGAGGCGACTTACATATAGAAAACTTATATATTTTTTTAATGTCTATATTTATATGTATGGTATTTTTATAGACTTTGAAAACAAATATTACAAAATAATAAAGCTATGAATATTAATATAAACATTTAAAGAATTATAAAAAAAAGTTAATGTTTTTATCAATTTTAAAATGTTTAATGAAATAACGAATGCAAAAAATCTCTGAATATTATATATGTTTTAAAGAAATTATAAATTGTAAACACATAATACAAAAAAAAAAAAAATAAATAAATAAATAAATTAAATAATTGTATGTAAATAAATAAAAATAAATATAAATAAAAAAAATTAAATAAACAAAAATAAACAAATAAAAATAAATAAATGAAAATTAATAAATAAATGTAAATAAAAATAAATAAATTACAAAAAAAAAAAAATAAATAAATACATAATGATATAAGTATGTATATATATTTAAAAATTTTATTAGCTTAAAAATAATTATGCAAAATTCAAAAATTTAAATTATGTCTTCCTAAATTGAATATAATATTTTTCTTTTTGTATTTTAAAAACTTAAAAATCAATACACAAAATTAAACATTTTAAAAAATGTGCTATAAATTAAAAATAATATTTTTTTTCTAAGTAAATAATACTTTTCTGAACTTTACAACACAAACATTATGCCCAGATTTCCCTATTTTAATTGTATCGTGGGTATAGTTAATTAAATAATATATTTATAAGCTCTAAAATCAATTAGAGCTCAAAGAAGTCATACTTAGGGCAGACATGAAAGTGAAGCTAGGCAACTTAATCAAGTTGTGAATATTCATGTTGAAATGGCGATAAATTTTAAATCAAAAATGAGTAAACATCTATAAATAATTGAGCAACAGTGTTTATAACTAATTGAAAACTCAATCGATAACTGCTTAAATGACAGGAACAGTTAAGTAACAACAAAAGATTTCGTAAAACTGTGTACAAAATACAAAATGGAAATAAGAAGAAGAAAAAAACCAATCAAAGGTCACAAAAAAGGAGAGAGAGCGTGTGTGCATGTGTGTAAAAGAGAGAGAGCAACAGTTTGAAATAGTTGAATAATAGTTGATGATGGCAACAACCTTAGCTCAGCTTCCAGCAACAGATACAATAATCTGTGCGTTATTTTTTATTTCTATTTGAATTTGAAGTTTTTTGAACCCTAGACCTAGGCGGAAGTCGTAGCACTTATGACTCATTTGATGGATAGATGGAGATAGAGCAGGCAAGGCAAGGCAACGCAAGGCAAGGCTAGGCTGCCAGCTCGAGCAGCGAGAGCGAGAGTCCCAGATACAATTGCGACTTGAGCCATTTTTTTGTTGTTGGTTGCTTCGTGATTTCTGTTGCTGTTGCTGTTGTTGCTGACAACTTGAAGCCGCAAACAGCAAGATATTTTTAGTGGCTGCCCCTTGAAAAACGTTTTAGGAGATGTGTGAGTGCGTGTGTGAGCGAGTGTGTGTGTGTGTGTGTGTGGGTGTAATTCTCACCCACTTCAACACTTCATTTAATAAATGTTGTAAACACGCACGAATTGAATTATTTATGCTTAGTTGTCATAAATTCATTTGGAGCGGCCGGCACACCCACTCACATAATCAATGAGTGTCGGGTGGGATGGGGAGGGGGAGGGGGGTAGGTGGACTGCAAGGGGATGCTGCTGCAGCAGCAGTCCAAAAACAGATGTGCGGCAATTAAGCGAACGCCAGAGCCGTTGACTGACAAACGCACTCAAATGTCAGGCGGCGCCTATTTTTAAGTTGGCTTATATGATTTACGATCGCAGCAGCAACCGGAGATGGGGCTGCTGTGTTTGGCTTGGGTGTTGAGGGAGGGGGAGGGGGCAGACGCTGTTATCAGGAATTTGCCCAAAGTTGAATTCTGTAATTAGAAATATGGCGGCGCTTGCAGTTGCCATTGCAAAGTGTGTTGGCAATTAAATTATGCGCTGCTGTCTTTTCGCTGACCCATTTCTCGAGGGGCGTGGGGAGAGGGGCGTGGGGAGGAGGAGGCAATGCTCAAAGGCAGACAAACATTGGGCGAATGCCAGGCAGCGCGAACGGATGCCAACATTACTGAGGCACTGGGCTAAAAGGATGCCTCAAGAACTCAAACAAAAACATTGGCCACTCCTCCCACCGCCATGCCGCTAGCCCTCCTCGCCCGTCGCCCCTCGCCGACGCTGTCGCCTTCGGCGTCTGCAGCTTGCAACGTTGTCTGCATTTGTCTGCCGCCAACTGAAATGAAAATGAAAATGGAATTAAGCAC